ATTCTGCTCCCATGGCGGCTGCTAGTCGCAGTCCGGACAATAGGGCCTCGTACTCCACCTCGTTGTTGGAGACTTTGAAAAGATAACGGTAGGCATAGTAGGCCCGAAATCCCTCAGGGGAGATGAGGACGATTCCGCCCCCACATCCCTTGCTCCGGCCGACCCGTCTGTTGCTAAGGTCCACCACTGCTCATCGCTCTCCTGTTGTTTCTCTGTCACCTCCCGGGCCGTACACTCCACGATGAAATCGGCCAAAGCTTGGCCCTTGATGGATGTCCGAGGCTGGAAGTCGACCTCATACTGACTGAGGAGCATTGACCACTTCACCACCCGCGCTGTGCCGGGCGCCCTCAGGGCTGCTCCTAGAGGTTGTTCCGACAGGATTCGGATTGGATGCGCCTGGAAGTAGTGTGTCAACTTCTTCGCGGTGATGTAAGCGGCATAGATCGTCTTTTCGAGCGGGGTGTACCGGAGCTCGGCATTCTGGAGGGTTTTGCTTACATAGTAGACGGGACGTTGAACGCCTTCCTCTTCACGAACCAGCACGGAGCTGATCGCGCCTTGAGAAACCCCAAGGTACAGGATCAACGTCTCCCCCCTTTCCGGCTTGCTGAGTAGAGGCTCGGAGAGGAGGTATTTCTTCAAGTCTTCGAAGGCTCGCTGGCACTCATCAGTCCAGACGAAACCATTTTGCTTCTTTAGGACCTGGAAGAAGGGTAATGATTTCTCAGCGGACTTCGACATGAAGCGCCCGAGGGCTGCTAGCCGACCGGTGAGAATCTGGACTTCTTTCACCGATCTCGGGGGCTCCATGTCAAGTATCGCTCTCACCTTCTCGGGATTTGGCTCAATCCCTCTTCGTGTGACCATGTATCCTAGGAACTTGCCTCCCTGGACAGCAAAGGTACACTTCTTTGGGTTCAGGCGCAGTCGCACTGCCTTCATGATCCCGAAAATCTCTGCCAAGTCATCTGCGTGGTCGGCCACCTGGGTGCTCTTGACGATCATATCGTCGACGTATGCTTCCATGTTCCTTCCGAGCACCTTCCGGAATACTTTGGCCACCATCCTCGTGTACGTTGCCCCGGAATTCTTTAGCCCGAAGGCCATGACAAGATAACAAAAAATTCCCTCCGGGGTAACGAACAAGGTCTTCTCCGCGTCATCTTCATGCATAAAAATCTGGTGGTACCCTCGAAAGGCGTCCATGAAGCTAAGGAGCTCACACCCGGCCGTCCCATCGACTAGTTGGTCGATGTTAGGTAACGGGAACGGATCCATAGGACACGCCTTGTTGAGGTCGGTGTAGTCGACACACATCCTCCAGGTCGGCGGCTTCGGGGCTAGGACCACGTTCGCCAACCACACTGGGTATAGGACCTCCCGAATGTGTCCGATACTCAGGAGCATGTTGACCTCCTTCTTCACGAATTCCTTCCTTTCGATGGAGAGATGTCTTCTCTTCTGCTGAACAGGTTTTGCCGACGGGTTGACCGCCAACCGGTGGACAGCGATGCTTCGGTCGAGGCCGGGCATGTCTTCCGGCCCCCATGCGAAGACAACGCTGAAGAGGATCAAGACTCGGATGATTTTTTCTCTCAAGTCGGCCGGGAGGCCGGTTCCAATCTTGACCTTCCGCTCTGGCTTCTCAGGGTCAATCTGGATTTCCTCCACGTCTGAAGTGGGTTCAGCACGGAGCTGACCCTCCTCATACTTCATGGCCTTGTTGTTGATAGTATGGACTCTCAAGTCCTTCTGGCCGATTTGCTTGCAAGCTTTTAGATAGCAGCTCCTAGCCATCCGCTGGTCTCCCCTAGCAACTCCGACACCATTCGGAGTGGGGAACTTCATGCACAGGTGCTCCTGGGATATCACACACCTCAGGTCCTCCAGGGCCGGCCTCCCCATGATGATCTTATGTGGACAAGTTAGGCGTACGACTATGAATTCGACACTTAACTTGGATACGCAGGGCTCGGAGCCCACTATCACAGGGAGGACTATACTGCCTTCCGATTCAATGGAGTCCCCAGTGAAGCCTGAGAGCGGGGTTCTTACTGGGTTCAAGTCCTTTCTGTCCAAGCCGAGCCCCTGGAAGGTATCATAGTACATGATGTTAACGGAGCTCCCGTTGTCTACCAGGACCCGATGGATGACAGTGTCGTTGATCTCGATCTTGATCATCAAGGCGTCCCTGTGCGGAGGCGGCATCGGTGGTAAATCTGCATCAGTGAAGAAGATGGGATCCCTCTTCACCTTCTTGTCGGCGGGAGTCCTGGTTATCTCCCCGATGTATAGGGCTCGGGCCCATTGCTTCCGCTCTCCCGAGGTATCACCTCCTTGGGGTCCCCCGAAGATGTATGAGCACCGATGGTGCTTGCGGGAGCCATCCCCCAGGTCGGCCTCATCATCCTCCGAAAGGGCGCCGAGCTCTCGCTTCTTGGCGGGTTGCTTCTCCTTTGACGTGGCAGCCTGGTCGGACCGCTGCCACGTCAGGCTCCTCTTCTGCGGGATGTTCCCTTGCTTGCCCACAAACTGGCCCAGATACCCCCTCTGGATGAGCTCTTCAATCTGTCGTCGGAGAATGACGCATTCATCCGTATCATGCCCTGCTCTCCGGTGGTATCGACAATATTGGTCGTGGTTCCGCTTGGCGGTCACCACATCGCATTCTTCCGGAAAGTCGATCAGTCCCTGCTCCTCCGCGTAGTCGAGGATGGCCCCGACCGGCTGAGCAAGTGGGGACAATTGTTTGACGGGCAAGAGCGGCCCGCTCGGGACGTCCGCCCTGCCCTTACCTTTGTTCTTGTTACCTTTGTACTTGTTTTTGTTGCCGGCCTTGCCTTCAGTTTTCTCGGTGCCAGAACCAGCTTCCTTCTTCTTCTCTTCCTTCCCACCTTCTTCCTCATCTCTCTTCTTCTGCACGGCGTCCTCCGCCTCGGCTTGGCGGTCGGCACGACCGAGTGCTTCTTCATACGTGGTGGGGGGACTTCTGACGAAATCTTTGTAAAGCTCACCAGACCGGATGGAGTTTGTGAGCATGGCCACCCCGGTCCTGTCATCAAGGCCCTGGACCTTGATTGACTCGGCCCTCCACCTCGCTAAGAAGGCGGACAATGATTCCTTCTTCCCCTGTTTCAGGCCGAACAGGTGGCTGAAGTTCCTTTTGACGTCTCGAGAGCTCGCGAACCTTAAGAGAAAGCGATGAGCCAACTCGCGAAAATTCATGATACTCCCATCAGGCAAAGAGTCGTACCACTCACGAGCTGGGCCGTCCAAGGTGGCAGAGAAGCCGCGACACCGGATGGCATCCTCATACCCCATCATCACCATGTAGGAGAGATATCGAGATACATGATGTTGGGGGTCAGAGGTGCCCTTGTATGTTTCGATGGTACAAGGCTTGTATCCCCTTGGCAACGGCGCATCCATCACCGCTCGGGTGAAAGGCTCGGGTATCCGGAGGTCGCCCGTGTAAGGTTCTCCCCCAACGACCCTTCTTCTTAACTCGTCGAGGCGATGGCGCAGATCCTCCACCTCGGCCGGCGGTAGACCCCCCTGGATGGCCCTAGCACGGGGCTGGGCAGTTCCAGCGGCGCCCCCAAGTCGTCTATGAATAGGAGGCCGGGCCCCCACGTTCCGCCTTGCCAAGGAACCAGTCCGGCTGCTCGCCCGGTGAGAAGGGCGAGAGGACTCGCTTCCTTCCATCTGCCTCGAGCGCCCCTGCCGGGCGCCCATCTCAGCCTGCTGATGGGCTCGGCTAAGCTGTTGAGAGACCTCCTCTCTCCTATGCAGGTTGGATCCAGAGTGTCGCTCTTCACGCCGCCTGGATGACACCTCCACTTCCGCTGGTGTTTCTCGACGGGCATGCTCGTCCACGTCACCGATAGATACCATCTGCTGGAAACCTTGAGCCAAGGCCCCCAGAACTCGAGTCGCCTCCTGTAGGGCCTCCACCCCTGCATTGAGTCGGGCCGGGTCCATGCGCGGAGCATGACGTCGGCCTCCCCCGCGCCGGCTGCGGTCCGAGCGCTCCCCCTGGGTATGGTTGAGCGTCGCCCTCAAGTCGCCGTGGCCTGACAACCGGTTCCGAAGGTCACCTTGGCGTGCCGCCCCCCTGCCCTGTCCGTGGTTGTCAAGGGCCCGCTGGCGGCCAGACCGGTTGGATTCCTCGGTATGGACCGAAACATGGTCACGTCGGGTCGAGATTCCGGCCATCTCCTTGTGTGACTCCTACTCAAGTGATGTGAGAGACAATAGAGGCTCTCAATGAAAGCACCAATGTTAGTCCAAAATAGGACGCTCGTAGGCTTTTAGGAAAGCTACGTAAGGACACTCAAGCAGAAATCAGGAAAGCAATACGAATAAGGAAAGTAGCTAGAGAGTTTGATAGCCAGAAATAACTTGTCTATTATTTGAATCCAACTTGCCTTATATAGGCGATTACAAATGGTAACTGCCAAACGTTATAATGGCTAATTTAATTACCATATTAATACATAATTAATCACATAAATAAATATCGTATTAATGCCTGGCCGTTACTCTTCCCTGGTTGGCTGGCCGTTGCTCTTCCCTGGCTGGCAGGCTGGGCGCTCGGGCTCCCTGGGCGACAGGCTTCCGCTGGGCCGGAATCAGGCTCCTCGCTAGACCGAAGACAGGCTTCCGGTTGGGCCGGTAGGCAGGCCTTCTTGGGCTTCTGCTCCGCCGGACTTCCACTCCCTGATGGGCCCGGTCGGTTGGGTCGACCTGATACCTGATCGCCGGGTTCACTAGATGGGCTTGCCTGGCGAGACAACAGCCGTGGGCTTGGGCCCGCTGATCCAAGTTTGGGGCCAAGTCTGATTAGGCATTGGGCCTAGTCCCATAATCCCATCATAAACTACATAGTATTAACTTGGAATTGGGAAATCTAAGGGTCTAGCTACTGGTATTCATCTAGCAATGATAACACAATTAAAGTAAACTGAAATTGCAGAAATTACAGATGGAAAAACTACCCAAAGGGTGAAGATTGCTTTGCCGTTTCTTCTGATCTGCGCCCTTGCTCTTGTTGCAGCGTTTTCTACTCTTCTTCCTCCCCCCTCCTCCCGTTTTTTCCTTTCTTTCACTCCATCAATAGCTGCAATCCCGAAACCTTCTCAACCGAAAATGGGGGTCCTTGCTTCTCTCCTCTCTTGCAGCGTTTTTTCTTTCCTTTCTGATCGTTGCTCTCCTACAGTCCTACTTGGCATGCGACTTTTTAGTTTTGCTACAAGTTCAAAAAATGAATCCTTATTACTACCTCCGTCTCTAGACTTAAGTTTGGGACATGTGACACGGTTATTAATAAAAGTGGGTTTATGTGGTTGATATTGAATTGATAAAGTAAGAATAAAGTAGGAATGATTTAGAACCACACAAACTTTACCAAATAAGACATCAGACAATCTTAATGGGACGGACCGAAATGGTAAAATAGGACAATCATAGCGGGACGAGAGTATCTAACAAAAGCAAGGCACGTGCAGTCTTTAACAAGCAAGTTTTAGACTTGGGAACTGAATTAATTAACTTGGTCTAAAAAACCCACTAACAAAATTGACTTGCTCCTTTTGACCTCTTATTAAAATAAAACAAATTAAGAGTCTAATTATAGAGTAAAAACACTTATTGAGACCTCTTGAATATGTAAAAATAGCAACAAATAAATGCTCAACATTGTAGGCGTAGGAGGCCTTGCCTCCCCCCCCCCCAACCTTTTTAATTTTTAGTAGTACTAGTCTAAGTAGCACCAGGACGGATACCAAAACGGGGACGGGAAAACTCTAAACTCAAACTAGCAAGATATGGCTACGGCAAGGAAACATCAAACTAAAAATTAAAATTTTATCAATATATGTCATGTTTAAGTTCAAAGTATACGAAATAAATAAACAAAACAAGCAAACATACGAATTTATCCTTATAATCCATTCCACAAACGTTACTGGGGCACCAATTAAAGTGAAGCTCACCGCCTCACTGAAATAAGGATGAACAAATAGCCAGAACCTTTGCTTCAAGCCTTTGATACGCTGCAGCGTCGACGTAGCACAAGAGAAGGACTACCGAACTCCATGTTTTTGGACTCGCACATCTATGTCAACTGTTTACACGCAAAGCTGGAAGTTACTGGCATGGAGGACCACAATAATGAATAATGTTTATTAAATTATTAGTTGGTTAGCATCAATTATTTCAGACTGGAAATAACTTTAATGACATCCCACTACACCATTACTTTTCAGATTGGAATTGTATTAAATTAGGATCTCTGCTCCTACATAAAGGCATGAAATGAGCATTTACTAGTAAAAAATGGCTTATAATGACATTAAATTAGTGTCACTAAACGATTTAATGACACACTGAAAGTGTCACAGAAAAGTGGGGCAAGTGACACAAACTTTTGTGTCACTGTTAACGAATTACTTTTGTGTCACAAATTATGACATATAAACATCATAGAGAACAGTGATACATTTGTGTTGGTATTCTTAATGACTCCTAGACATCATCTGAACCAATGATACATTAATATAAAAAAATTGACACGTTGGGTATGATACATATTTATGTCTCATTGGTATCATGTGTGTGTATATCCATAATAATAAAATCATATTGATATTTAGTAACAAGATTATAATATCTCATATTATTAAAATCATATTAATATTTATAAATAAACAAAGTATTAAACAACTATATTCATTTAATAACTCAAATTGTAAGATTCACATATTCTAATATTACAACACGAATATTTTATCCAAGTGAAAAGTTGCAAGTTTGATTGTAGGCTATTATTATATGCAGAGAGACATTTCTAGTTAATGGTGTGCTTATTTGGTTGAACTGAATAGTGAATAATTGGAGTTGGAATAGAGAGAAATCAGAATGTTCTGTTAAATTAAGCAACGTTGGAGCTGTCTTTTTTGTTCTAAATTTAAACTTTAAATACTGTTTTTACCTCTTTCTTTACAAGACACTAGCTTACCATTGAGGAACATGAAGAATAAAAAAGAGTATAGTTATTCAAATACCCCAAATTTGATAAGTGTGGGCCGAATACCCCAAAGTTGAATGTTAGATATAAATATGATGAACAGAAGTTTTTATTTCTCAGATATATTAGTTCATATATATAATTAAGTGCGCAGTGTAAATTCCCCTAAAAAAGTGCGCAATGTAAATACTTCGAAGATTTAAGATTACACATTTACCATTCTAAGCTTTCATTTGTGAAGTACATAACTTGAGTACAGGGTGCTAACTTCACGTACAATGTAAAAAGAATATATAGTTTACGGATCTAAATCACGCAAATGGTCTCTAGGCCAAGTCTATAGAGAACTAAGAGAAGCTAATATGACCGCTCACCTCTTGGCACAAAATTTTCCAGATAATCACTCTAGTATAGTATGATTTCCTATTTCAATCAGAATGATGTTCCCCACTTGATCAAGAAATCTTTAATAACGGATTTGATGGGTTTGCCCTATTTCAGATAAAAAAAAAGGCCAAATTGTTTTTCTAAGAGGTATTGGTTTAGTCCCCTCTGATTTTGTACCCAATCTCGTTCTTAATAAAGGGGACGTTTGTTTATCGGCGGATCCGCAGCCAACCGCTGCTTTTAGCAGCGGTTTCAAGTTAAAAAAGAGGCAACGGTTTCACGCACCCGCTGTAATCCAAACGGGCCCAAAATCTTGGTAAATGTCTCCCGACATTTACCCCACTGATTTTGGTGGTTTGCCTTCCGGGGTAAAAAAAAATTACATGGTGCTAACTTCACGTACAACGGTACAATGTAAAGCTAATGGTATTTAGTTTACAAATGCAACTTAGGGATATTTGATTTAATATTCCTTTTAAAAATAAATTAAATGTTAGCAAAATATAGAAATAGTTATAATATTTGAAATTTCCTTATAAATACTGAAGTTCAAAAAATTATACAAAAGAGAGTAAGATGTAAAAACTATTATAAATGATAACTGTATAAAACGTATCTTCGTAATGGTATAAGTTTTGAAATCTCCGAATTGCATACATATTATAATAATAATAATTATTATGATTATAATTATAATTATAATTATTAATAAGTTTCTAAAAGTTCCTTCAACATATAATCTGCCAAATTGTATAAGTTTGGGAAAACTATCAAATAAGCCCCCGTACTATGCCGAAAAAGTCGATTAGACCCTCGTACTTTACAAACACTCAATTAAGTCCTCGAACTATTAAAAAACGTTCAATTAAGCCATTTTGGTCGGTAAGTAACCGGTTTCCCGATTAAACGGCGACGACGGCGACGATGATGATGATGTGCTCGAACCCCAGCAACGGCGGCTGCCGGAAAACGGGTTACATCTAACCGGGAAATTAAACCGGTTACTTACTGACCGAAAGGGCTCAATTGAACGTTTTTTAATAGTTCAAGGACTTAATTGAGTGTTTGTAAAGTACGAGGGCCTAATTGACTTTTTCGGTATAGTACGGGGGCTTATTTGATAGTTTTCCCTATAAGTTTTTAACTGAAGTTCACATGGAGAATATTTTATTTGGTGTAACTGTGTAAGTGTAATCAACATCTAATTTTCATCATCACCCTAGTGCCGTAAAGGCTCTCACCTATGGTGAGGTAAGGGGGTTGGATGTACGCAGTCTTACCTTTGTACTAAAGCTCATAGAGACTGTTTCCGGAAGACCCATAGTGAAATTCGCATTGAAAATTGCATTGACTAACTATTGGCTTCATAACAAAGAAACATAGACAGTTTAGTGAGCCATTTTGCTTTATTCCATCATACTACGAAACCAAAAAATAGTGAGTCTTTGGCTCCATTACAAATAATGGGAATGTAAAAAATAGAAAATTCAAAAGATATAACGTAGAAATGTAAATAGATACTCCGTATGTAAATGTAAAAAATAGAAAATTCCAAATTTCACGCGTTGAATTTCTTAGTACAGTAAACAGTAAAGATGGAGATGTTTTTTTTCGATCAATTGATTGAATCATCTGAAAAGGGCCGAAATAGTTGCATTGTTTTTATTTCTATATATGCTGTTCGTTTTTAGTAAAATAGCCATCAGTATAATGTGTTAACGTTACTAGTCCCCATTGGCTAGTTTATCCATTCCCACACTGTTTGGATTAGTTTTTGCATCAAGGGCATCAAAATGAATGGGAAATGACATTTTTTTTGTTTATTTGGGGGGGGGGGGGGGGGGATTTGATTTTCATGCAGCTTTTTCTTCGAAATCAAAAGAATATTCTCCGTATTTGTTTAGTTTAACCAGCTTTAGTGCCCTTGCTGTAGCTTACTTACAGATTGGTAACCTATATGGTATGCTTGGATCCCAAGAAATACTAGGGAAATGAAAACAAAATGCTATGAAGTTATTCTCCTATGTTTGACTTCACATTGGAAAAGACCAAGAAAAATGAAATTTTAATTAACCTTGAAGAGTTAATGCATTTATATTTCATATTCCTTCTATCAACAACAACAATGTCCAAGCTTTATTCCAAAAGAGCTCGGGGTAAACTAACATGAATCTACATATGATATCGGAGTTAAAAATATCTAATGTTTGAACAACATGAAACTTTGTAATATATAATGTTTGAACAACATGAAATTTATGATATACTACGTATAATTTTAAAAATATTTAATGTTTGAACAACATGAAATTTTATAATATATAATTTTAAAAATATCCAACTTTTGAACGACATAAAATATTATATTTGCCAAAAAGAACAAAAAAAAAAATATACGGAGTAATATATAATGTTTGAACAACATGAAATTTTATATTATATGATGTTTGAACAACATATGAGGTTTTAAAATATCTAAAACTTCTTATTCCTTTAATAAAATAAATAAGTAAATAAATAAATAAGATGGGTCGAACAAATATCAAACAGAAAAGTTTTGAGTTCAGAGTCTATCTTTTATTTTCCCCCAAAAATTTGTTTCTTTAAATTGTCCTCTCTATTTTCAATCCTACTTTCTTCTCCTTGTATTTTCCATGTTTGATGTAGACACTTAGCGAGTTATTGGTCTTGCCCGTGTTTTTCCACAGGACAAATGGCAGGGAAGGTGGTGAAATCTGTAGCAAAAGCAGTTTCAGAGTACCAATACCCATTGCAAGAGAAGATGATGAAGTACAAGAATGAGCTGTCAAAGGGTGTGTGGGGTTATTGGGAACTTGGAGCCTGGAAACCGTTAGGCATAAGTGCTCGTAGGCGGGCCCGGCTCCGCAAAGAAGTTCTACTTGATGGGTGTTGAGCCCAAGGATTTTGGTTTACAAATGGCCCATCTAAGGAAGATTAAGCAGGCAGCCCAAGAGAAGCAATGCACGTGCAGAGTTGGATAAGTTAAAAGAATCAGTCAAAAGAGAAATAGTAGGGCATGGAGGAAAAACCGCAGGGAAGTTGCGTTACTTGGGGAAAAGCTAAATTTTATCTAATAGAGGTCATATTGGCTTGTATAAAAGGAGGGATATACGAAGTATTCAGGGAGCATTCTTTACTGAAGCATACCTAGTGTTCACTCAATATCAATATTAACAATCAATTGCTATTTCTTTTTCATCTTTGTTCATAGTCGATTATTCTTTTTGCTTGATTCCCAATTCTATATCATATTCCTAGATCAGTTAATTTCTGGTTAAAACAATTGGCGCCGTCTGTGGGAAATTCTTGCAAAAAGAGAATCAATTATGGCCGAAAGTTCTAACTCCCTGTTTAATGAGATTCAAGCACAACTAGAAGCCGTCCGAGAAGAGCTCTGTGCATCCAAAAGTTCCGACGCAGCACAATTAGAAGCTGTCCGAGAGGAAATGCGTCAACGAATCGCCTTCCTCCAATGTGAAAATGACGCTTTGAGATCTCAGGTGCAATCGGTGGCATCCATAGCCTCAAGCTCACGACGGGGCGGGGATGTGGCTACCATGGCAACGAGACTGGACATGGGTTCGATTCCGGCTTCAACCGAACCTTTCATCCCTCACTTCAGGGCCGACACATCTGGAGGAGCAGGGCCCTCAACTCGTTCCTTTCCACCCCCAAATCCCAGAAGGAACATATTCCGAAATCTGTTTGCACAGCCCCAGAGACGACATGTTCCAAATCATGTCGACATTCCCAGATATGTCGACATCAACAACCAGAGGCAACAAGTTCCCAGCCATGTCGACATCCCCAGATATGTCGACAT